AGAAAAGTGAAGAGAACAGGAGCCTTTTGGAGAAGGTTAATTTGAAAGATAAGCACAATTTGCATTCAAGGAAAAAGAAAACCAGTGTGAAAGTGCTGGTTCTTTGGTTCTTTAAAGACTGCCTGCCCCAGGGGGAGCATGGACACTCACAGAGCTGTGGGACATTCACTTAGGGGACACAGGAGTGTGGGCGCCTCACTTTTGCAGGCTGGCTTTTGCCTTCTCGCCAGCTTTGATTTGTGCATAATTAGATTCACTCCTTAGCCTCTGTGGAATACAACAGCCTCGAATCAAGGCCTCCTGCTCTGCCTGGTGTGCGGGGAAGGGTGAGTCTGGCTCTGAAAGGAAACACAGACCCGTTTGCAAGCCTGTCAGAGGAGTTAAATCATCCTGATGCCGACCCTCTTCAGAACCACAGGAAGGAGTCAACTCCCACTGGTACTTTTAACATTTATATCTGTTGGCATTTTCAGCTGAGAAGTCCCAAATGAGGGAATCTCCCTGGGAGACTAGGGGGTGGGGACAGGGAGTGATTCTGTAGGCCCCTCACCCCCTCAGGGAGCACATCAGTCTGTGGCAGCCCTGGGCCCAGTGCGAGCCCGGCCTCCCTGACTCCTTGCTGACAGCTGTCTAAGGCAGCAGCTCCAGACTGAATTAACTCCCCACCTCCTTTTCTTCCCGCTTCACTTCCTTCCTTGACAGCATTTTCCCCTTCATCAAGTATGATGATTTTTTTTAAAGAGCTGTTTTTAAAACTCTATGTCAAGTACTATGGTAAAGCCCTTCCATCAATAACATCCTTTTGTTCACTCTTCAGAGTAGTTCTGTTACATGAGTTGAGATAAAAACAATCCTCACTAAGGCCAGGGGATTCGTTATACTCTTTAGTTTAGAGTCACGGTTTCCAAGAGCCTACGGATGACCAGTGAGGACTTCCTGTGCTTTACAAGGGTTTTATCATTCATCTTTATGGTGGAGGAAAGAATAGGCAGCCAAGAGGAGGCATCACAAGGCTAGGACCTGACTCACCCAAAGGTGGGGGTAGAGGAGATTAACATGACCAATAACCCAGCGATGGAGCCAGATCCTTAGGCCCAGAGCCTTATCACAAGGCCCAAGGCCCAAGCAGGTGTCAGGCTGCTACAGGGAGTATTCAAGCACAGACCTAAGGGTAAAGATACCAGATTGGGCCCTGCCAGGAACAAGAATCTGCAACAAGAATCTGCAGGGCTCAAGGGCTAAATTAACAGCCCACAGGGGCCCCTCCCTACTCACTGGCCAGCCCGGGCATTTCTGGTCTGGGTGCTAATCACTCTGGTGTACATATTCTGAAGGTGCTGTTTGAGCTTCCTCTGCCCTTGGTTCCATAAGCTATGCTTATTATGTAATTATTTTGTACTTATTAGTTGTTCACACTGTGTGATTGTTTCTTTACACACACCCTTTCCTTAAGAGAAAACATAATTTCCTAGTTTCCCTCATGATTCTACATAATCACTCATGTGTCTTTATCCTCCCTGGAACCTATTTCCAAGGAAGCTGATAAAGCATCGGCAAAACCCATGGGCGGTGCAGTCAGACATTAATACTTGATTTTTTTAAATACAGAAATCACTTCAAAATTTTGCATATGTTTAGTTAATCAGTCTTACAGGTTCAGTGAAGGACCTGGAAAACTATGGTCAACCACCCATGTTCTTTTGAGTATGATGTCGACCCATCCTGCCGCTGGGCAAATGACTGTGTGGAAAGAACATTAAAATAAGCTTCTATCTCTGTTTTACACAGAGCTTATGAAAAATACAAGAATTGAAAGTCTCCCGAGTTTGAAATATATGAAACTTTCAATGACATTCTTACGATTCTCTATCAGAAGACAGATACTACATAAATTTCTATGAAAATTAACGATGATATAACACCTGTATTTTCAAAACCCTTATGCTATCAAATTAGAATAATGTTGAGAAACATTAAAGTTTTAAATACAGAGAAATCTTTTTTTTTTTTATAGTTCTCTTAGTATAAAGTTATCCACACCCTTCCCATATTTATCACGCCAGACAAATGATCAGCGATTCTAGATCTTCTAATTTTAAAATTTAACAACTTGGTTAAATTTTAACAACTTGGTCTGGGTGCTCTCACGGAAACACTCCTAATGTTTTAAACACCAAGACCCACTCAGAAAGTGCTTTGTGATGCACCAGAGACCCGAAGCTTGAGTGGTTTTATAGCAGACACTTATTTATTGTCCAATTTATCAGACATCTAGTCTCCACCTTGCCTTCAGTCAGGTTAGCGCCTAAAAGTGGAAACATAGAGGATGAAGTGGTTAATGCCAGCTAAAAGTGGAAACATAGAGGATGAAGTGGTTAATGCCAGCAGAGAGGGAAACAGGATACAAATGAGAAGTTGAAAGGGCTTTATCCCTTTCAAATTTCTTCGGCAGAAGGAAAAGTCACTTGGACTCATTTACTTGCTTCACAGTCTGTTCAGTTTCTAGAAGGTATTCTCAGTTAATAACATGGGGAAGATGACAAGCAACATGCCCCAGGCTGTCTAAACATCACAACTGGGAGATGAGTGTCATCAGAGGAAACGCATAGAAGCCTGGTCCTCTCCGGGGAAACTTTTCACTGACTCGGACGTATTGATGCCTTTCCAAGGCTTTCGTATGGAGAATGAGTTCATGGTAATATTTTCTAAATCACTGAAGCCACTTGGAAGTCAGTGTAGTTAATGAAGGTACAGCAAAACGAGCAAGTTTTTTCAGTATTAGTTTTAGTCTTGATCATATTGTGCGACAAATTACAAAGTGGCTGTGTATCTGTTCTGCAGAATAATCTTTAAAGCCATGAATCAGGTGGTTTCCCCCTAGACACCTACATCTAACTATACTATTTTAAAGGCTATATAACATGAGAAATATTTTCCTTTGATGGGCAAGAGAAAAGATCTGATGTTTGCTCTGATGTGAAATGGCTCTGTAATCATATCATTAAAGTAGTCAGACAGGAAAAGATTCTTCTTTGTAGTAAATTATAATTTAATGGCCAGTAGATTATTTTGCATAAGCCAATAAATCACACTACTATAAAGCAGAAATTCCAGGAGTGTCCTGTCTACCTACTCCTGCCACTTCCACTATCACTATTGCTGCCAGTAGCTGTGAACAACATGTCCAGAGGGAGGCAGCTGTGAATGATGCCTGAGAAGCTCCGATGGCGGGAAGTTATGGAGCCGGAGCATCTTTGGAGGAGACCAAGAGTGAGAGGAAGGAGGGGCAAAAGGAAATCCACATGACCAAGCTGCTGATCTCTAAGAACTGTTTTCCTCAGCTGCAAAACTGCAAAGAGCTTTATGAATATCAAAATTTCAGATAAGGGTTTACTTATCTGGTACTACTCTTCAGGGCTGTTATGAATGTTTAAACAAGATAAGCTAAAAATACATTACATGACATTGAATGACGTAAGGATGTCAAGCCACCATTGCGACTTGGATGAGAACTCAGAAATGAGAGAAAATGGTATTGCGGATGACCTGGACGTCCCCAAACCCCAAAACATTAACATGAAAGAGGCTAGCCAAATGGAGACACAGAAGGATCAGATGTGTTTTCTATATCTTACAAGTCAAGGAAAACAGATGTGTCCAATGAGATATTAATGAAAAATGAAAAAAAAAATCAGTCATTGTCATCCTTATTTTTTCAAAAATCAAATGATAATAAACTAAAGAAACCTAACACGTGAAAGGAGTTTTTTCCAACTTCCTTTTTTCTGAAGAGAGTATAGAGCTTCTGAAAAGGTCAAGAGATAACATACTTCTTTCCTAATTAAATTAAAACCTCTACTCCTGATATGAAGGAAAAGATTTAATTGCTCAAGAATAGGAACAAAAAAGACTTATTTTTCTTTTTATTGTTATTCCCTCGATGGAAAGGCTCCAAAGAAATCGAGAGACTTTTTTATTTCAGAGCCACTCAGCAAAAGTACTTGTTCTGGCTTCTACAAGGGAATTGAGAAAGCCGATGTTTGACAATCTTGGTTGGGATGTCTGGTCATATCAGAGATTACCAGCGGGTTGGTTAATCAGACTTTTCTAAACTTCATCATGTCATGCTTGATGAAGTGGACTGATTTTTTAGATCAAAACAGGGAGGAAAGAACTCAGGGACTATGGTGATGGTGCCCGGGTGAGTTGGTTATGGGGACTACACCTGAGAAGAGCAAATATATATTGCACAGAGGAAGAATGATTTATATAAATACACACACACACACACATATATATATATATACACACACATGTATATGTATGTATGTATGTATGTATGTATACACACACACATATATAAAGTTTTGTTGAACAAGTTGAAGATGTCATCCACTCATTTTACCAAACTAATTCTGAAGAAAATTCTCAGACTACATTTTCTACAACTTGCCTATAGTGGATATACAAAGTTGCAAAAAATAAAGAAGCATGAATTCCCAGGTCCGAGTAGATAACTTTGTTGAAAAAATTACCCCAAAATCTGCAACAGCTGTGGCACCATTGACAAGCCAGTGCCACTGATGGAGAAGCCCACAGCTGGCACATTGCTAAGGTGGACCTGGTAATTCAAAGTGTGGTGGCCACAAACGGAATTTTGACTCCTTTATAGGGAATCTACCAGGTGAGTTTGCCTGTTTCTGCCTAATCCTGTAAATCATGGATTGTATTTCAAGAGCATATAGTCAAAATTAGGTCTCCTAGTTGAGAGATGTGTCTACCTCCTGCAAAGGAGTGATTGCATTTTTTAAAAAAGCATGTCACAATAATGGTTGTAAGCACACCTACTTCCAGTTATACTTTTGAATAAAAAAATCTTCTTTTATTGTCGCTTAAAAAATAAAACAACTCCACTGTGATAAGGGAATGACTGTAAGTGGAATTAAAGGTATTATATCAGAATACCCAGTGGTAGAAGAGCATATCAACCTTGGCCTTACCCTTTAATTTCAAGGCTTCTAATACCTTTGAATCAGCTGTTACATCACTCACTAGCTTGATTTCAATGTTTTGTGAAGTCAGTTGAAGCAACTTTTCAAAAAGTCGTTGACCCTAGAAAAGATATTCAGAAACAAAGAAAGTTAGTAATCTGAAAGATTGCCTTTTAAATAGGTATAAATAGGCTTATTAAAAACTAAAACCATGCATTCAAATTAAAGGCAAGTAGCTCAGCAATTGGTATTCATGGAAGATTCTTCACAAAAGTTTATAGAATGAATATAATTAGCAATATGAACACAATTACATTTTTTGGCATTGTGCAATTCAACAATTATTGCAATAATAATTCCAATGAATTATTTCCACGTGAAAATCTACCTTTCTGTTACTCTTTCATGAACTCTGAAGCTTATACACGAAGAGATAGCAATATTAAATAGTTGTGTTTGGCCCCAGAGAGACAGGATTCCGGCTGCTTTTTCAATTTACAAATGATTGGTTAATCTCACTAATCTCCATTTCTTTCTTAGTAAAACAGAGACAATATTAGCTTTTATTTTAAAAGGTTTTGTGAGTATTAAAGGAGTTAGTAGTAAGTATCCTTGAGTTCTTATAATTATGGGAGGAATTAGCTCTCTCGGTGATTTGCCTAATTGCCTTCTTGTTTTAAGTTTGTCTTATTGAATTCAGCTACATCTCTCTTCAGCAATCCGTAAGTATCATAGCTTAAAATACTGAAATGAAGAAATACAAATAAGGTTTTTTTCTTATAATTTTTTTCAAGGATATAAATTTCAATCTCTCATTTAACCTAAAATGGCATATCCACAGTCATTACATTATCACAAGTGGGGGGTTGAAAATTTATTCTACTTACTTTCCCTTATGTGTTTTAATGGGTCCCTCTCTAATCATAAAATGAAACTGGTCTTCTTTTATTGATTTTTCACATGTTCGCTATTTGGCCACAAACTCAAAAGCCTAGAGGACCAGACAGATAACAGAGCTCTGGTCCTAATGACTCCCAAGCAGCAAAGGTTTACTTTATTTTGATTAGAATGGCTGTTGATGAAGACTATATCGACAAAATTTGGTGATTAGAAGAAAGACAGAAGGAAAAGTGGCTGTATAGCACTGATTCTTGCAATGGAGTTTTAGCGGAGAGACGCCAACGTCCTATGGCTTTGGAGTGTTAAGGAGAAAGGAGCTTGTTGACCTGTGCTGAGGTTCCAAATGATAGCAAGAGAAGGGATGCGTGGAGGCATCCTTAAACGTAAAAGGGTCACCTAAAGTGAGGATTACCAAGTACTCTGCACCCAAGAATCTGCAGGTAGCCTCATCACAAACCAGCTGGTTCCCGTGACATGCGGAGTGAGTACATGAGGCTGTTGTAAACTGCTTCTGTAAAAATGTGGTAGGAGGAAGAAAGGAGGAGAGGAGGAGGGGTGGAGAGAGGGGAGAGGAGTGTGGAAAGCAGAAAGGGAGAGAGGGCAGGATAGGATGGATGAGAGAGCTAGGGGGGAAAAGCGAGTTGCTTATTTGGTGATTTCAGTGTCAATATATATTTCAAGTCACTATGGAGAAGGCTCACCTATGTTGTGAGGAAAGACTCACAGGAAGGGCTTTGGGGTGCTCCCACAGGCAGAGTTATTACTATCAGCTTTATCTCTCCTCCCTTGTCACACGCATTTGAAAACTTGATGATGTCTGGAGAACCCAGATTTCCAGAGCCCAGGCTCATCGTCATTACATCTATACAACAGTTGTTTGCGGTTTCCCCTTTCACACACAAAAAGGGTTCACATGCTTTAATACAATTATTAGCTTCTGGCTCTGAGGCAGGGGCCTTAATAATGCTGGCGATAAATTATAAATAAGTAGATAAAGCTTAATTAGTCCGATGTCAAGGTGGAGGAATTGTAGATTTAGAGAAAAACACAGTAGGGCCACAAGAAGCCAGGCCAATGCACTCAGGGGAAGTTCCCCAAAGGAAGAGGGGAGGAAAGATTGTTTTCACTGGAAACCTGTGACAGAACGTTAAGTTGGGGCATATCATGACACACTTTGTAAGTTGGAATGAAGGGTCTGGCTGTCCTCTGGGGAAGCAATGTGAATCTCCGAAGAGTTTACCCACAGAAGGACATAACTGAACTCTGTTCTGAAAGAAAACTGAAAACAATTTGGAGAAAAATTAGTGTAGGCAAGACTGAAGGCTGAAAAAGTAATGAGAAGTCTACTGTGTGGTTTCACGAAAGTGATTGTGGCCAGAGATAGAGAGAGTAGGGTCAACAGAGGTCTACACAGTAGAAGCATCTCGAGCAGTTGTGAGAAATCTTAGTGATGAGCTCGATGGTTAGGTATGGACTAACGGGGGAAGCTGGAGTTGGTGATGGAAGCCAGTGTCCAACAGGCCTGTGAAATACAGAACTCCTTATCCACAGCTGGAAGATGATGGCCATTAGATTATCCTGAGATCATGATCAGTCCTGAGCCTGTAGTGTCAGAGGTCTAGGCCTTTAGTTGAGAGTATCCACTTGTTGGCAGTAAGCAGCAAGTATTACACTCTAGCTACCAGCAGAGTATCTCTCTGTGGCAGGCAGGCTATCTATCACGTGGAGGGATTTAATTATTCTGAACTGTTAATCATTAAGAACTTGCTTAATGATGGTTATCACAATTATGCACCCCCTGGGTATGAGAATAGTTATCCCAGTTAGGGGCAGATGAAGAGAAATGAATAAGCTCACCATGCCATAAATGGGTCAAGAAATAACATGGAATTAATCTAGGAGCAGCATATTTATAGAAGGAGTCTCAGCTGTTGGGGTACTATAGAAGATAGAAAGTAACTTGAGGGGCTCTCCCTGATGGCATGATGGGTTAAAGCACTGAACTATGAAGTTACCTGCAGCCACTGCAGCACAAGTTCTATCCCCGGCCAGGGAGCTGACCACATGGCGCAGCAAACCTCTCTTGAATCACCCGCTGTTCTCCTCAGTAGTATATTTCAGTCGATCTGCCTGTTCTGCCCCCCACTCTGTCTCTGGTGGTCCTCTCACCTTCCACACCTCTGCCCACACCCTAGTTCGACTATACATAAATAAATAACAATAAATCTTAAAAACAAGACAAGGAAATAAAAGTAACTAAAACTCCAAACTCCACTTTAAAAATAATTGAGTGAGAGGAACTCAAGGTAAAAAATTACCTTCTATAGTAATTTACTTAATGAGAGTAAGAGATAAAAGTTTCTTCATTAGAAGAAATTTTTATTTTTGCTTAAAGGTTTTTTCAGGGCTTCAACAATAAGCATTGTATGTTTTCAGAAGTATTCTGAAGCTCATCCCACAATAACCTCATTTTGACATGAGGGAGAGGTCTGCAACTATGAAAGATACTGGTGTCAGGAGGAAGTTTAGATTTTTTTCATTTGACATGTCTATTTTTAGCTTTTGTAATACTTGAGCTCCTGAAAAATGGCGTCTATTTTATACTTGTCTCAACTAAGTTTTATTTAAAGGGCTCAATGTGAGGGGGGAAATTGGCTCCTTATTAAAGTAATTGAAAGAAAAATCCTTTGTTAAAATGAAGAATCTAAATAACTAACACAAATTGCTCACAGTGTAGCAGATTTGGATTTTTTTCAAATGCTTTTTTGATGATAATGTGCAGCTAGAGTTTCATTTTTCAGAGATCTGTATTGAAATTTCCATTTCATTATGGGAGTATTAAACCATCTGCATGATTTAATTTGACAAATAGAAACCAGAAACATTAGTAGGATGACATGACGAATAGGTCCACATCAAATTAAAAAGCTTCCATAAGGGAAAAGAAACTATCATAAAAGCAAGAAAAAAATCACCTTTCAGAATGGGATAAAATATTTGTACATCATTTATCTGACACGGCACTGATATCCAAAATACACAAAGAACACATACAACTTTAAAAAAAAAGTTAGTTTAAAAAAATGAGAAGAAAAACTAAATAGACACTTCTCAAAGAACACAAATGGTCAATAGACACATGAAAAAATACTCATTGCTCCTTACAACAGGGAAATGCAAATCAAAATCACAACAATTTCACCCTCTGAGAATAGTCTATATAGGAAAGTCCAGAAACTTTTGAAACTTCATATGCTTCAAACAATGTCAAGGCGTGTAGCACCTGGAGTCCCTGACCAAAGTAGAAAACTCCCTTCTGTAAGTATGGCATTTCTCGAGGACATTTCATTCCTAAATCATTTAGATCATTTAGTCACTTTTCTAAAAGTTGTTCTTGTAATCAGTGCATTTCTTTCAAATTCATTCATTCATTCAAATATGACAGAGTCAAGAATGTACAACTAACTATCTGGGAAATAAAATCCAGTATTATTACAAAAGCTGGCTCTGGATCTATTATCTTAAAGAAAAACTGTGACACCAATTAACTGAATAAATACCTTCGCAAGAAGCTATAGAATTAGAACTGCAAATATGCAGGTTGTACAAGGCTGAATTCTGGGTGATTCTATCCACAGGGACCGTGAGGTGAGTGTAGACCCGTGGAGTTATCCTATAGAACAACACAACCTCTAGAACCTACCTATTGTATACAAGGATGAAACATGATTTTTGCTCTTGAAATCTTGGCATTCTAGCAGCATCTGAGTGACAGATTAGCAAAGGCACATGTACATATCTGTAGTGGTCTACATTTATCATGGTGAAGACAGACTGAAAATATGAGCTTTTTAAAAATCAAAAAATATAGAATAGCTTATTTTTGCATCATTTTGTGCCTCTTCCCATCTCAGTCCGTGGGCTTCCCATCACCAAGGACCCGTGTGCCATCACCAGAGTCCCACGGACCCCCCACCCCATTTTTGATCCCATTCCCCACTCCACCCCCATACGATGTCTCTGGTCTATAGTTGTTCATTATAGGATTAAAAAAAAGTGAGCTTCTGGAGTGGAGGGCGGACATGCTAAGGTATGTAAAGTGTACTTCGTCACACACACAGGAGAGGGTGCAGCTTACCTGGCATGCTGACGGATGGCTGTGGTTGAGGTCCCAGTGAGAAGACACTATGTCCACAGACTTTTTGGCCATGTTGAGTAAGTTCATCCAGCCTTGGAAAAGTGATAAGTGAAATGGTGCATTTTCTGAATAGTTAAGGCCCTCAGGGATATTCTCCACCAGGGCAATTCTTAGAAAAGATTTTGAAAAACAAACAAAAAGAATCTCGTCAAATTTGAAGCCGTGGATCTTCATACATGCACACAGACACATCAGAAAAGCACTGTTTCTTAATTAGACATTACTGATAACGTACACTTCCTCATCAGAGGCCTCTTCTACTTTGAAATTTTGCTGTGTTTTTGAGAGTTGATACATTGTTCTTCCATAATTAACACTTATTATAGAAAACCACCGTGTATGCCCCTAGTGTTCAGTTAGAAACTGGTTTTTGGTGAAAAATTCAGAATTTGCTACACAAGATTTGCTTCTAGAAATATAAGCAATCATTATAGAAGACATTACTCCATGGCACACATTTCTGTATTTCTCCATTTTCTATCACAGTGCTGGTGGATATGTATTAGGACTTAGTAAGTGCTATTATTGCTGGTTAACACCTCTCTTGAGGCTTCCCGGCTGAAGGCATAGAGGAAGTTCTAAAAACCTGCTTGTTTTAGAACACATATTTTTCAAGATTTAGTGTGTGATGGCTAGGAGCAGTAGAGGAAGAAGAAACAGTCATGAGTAAACAGCAACTCGACTTTCTTAAAGGGCCATCAGGTTGTCTCCTGACAGGGCTACTATAAACACTTACGATTGTATCCTCCCTGGGTACCATTCTTAATCCTCTTCAAGCCACTTTCTATGTTACATTTTGGGTCATCCTTTAAAAATATAAATCTGAACAATCTGTTCAGTGCCAGAGTCCTCCTGATGACGTTCTCTCCTACTCTCCCAATGTGCTTGACAAGTGTTGACCAGTCTGACCCGACTTCTCCACAGTTCCACGGCACTCATATGGCCCCCTGAATTTTACACCAAAGCTACTCTAACTTTGGCATTTCAAGAGCATTAATACAGAGTCAATTTCTACTCTGCTTATTGAGCAATTGCTAATTAACTTTTAAAGTCCCACTTTAAACATGATTTTTTTTTTTCTGAGAGGTTCTTCCCTATGCACCCAAACTAGGTTACATCTTCCTTATTATCTACTTCCAGTGATCTGTTATTCCCTTTTCATCTTGCCTATCATGCTAGAGATGATGTATTCAAGGATAATTTTCCTTGATTAATTATAGGGTGTCTTGATACTGCGGTGTTGGTTTACTCTTGCAGCCCAGTGCCTACCATATGCTCAGAGCAAAAAATATCTGCCAAATTTCAATAAAATCAGGAAAAAAGAAAACAGAAGCATTAAAATTGCCAAGGAACATAGACTGTGGATTGGGAGAAATTAGCCAAGGAAACCAAGATAAAACCTGCCCCAAATCTAATTTGGGAGGAATGTATATCTTTTATGTTTGGTAGTGTGCAAAATACATCTGAAGATTAAGAAGGGACTCTTAAAGACAAAAGATAAGAGATAAGACAGATAAGAGGGAAGCCAAGTTGGAGAGATTTTTAAATCTAATAGAAAACTGTTGAAGGCAAAAGACAGAGGTTAAAGTTGGATTTCTAGCCATATTTACACTCAATTATCTATGCTAACAGAAGCAAGACATAGTGAAAAGGAAGCAGGTTGGATAATTAGCAGTTTTAGCCTACTGTGAAATTAATGAATATATTTAAAATCAAACAAAAAAATCCCTCCAATAAACAAAGCTAAAATACAATGGTTGGCATGAGGGGTTTGTAGAATAATAATATACTAGTAGATGACTTTGCACTATCTTCCATACATATCAAACTCTCCAGCTTCAGATAGGTATACAATAATGTAGGAAGCCAATGGTTTTGGAAATCTTTAGAACAGGTACTCTTAAGCTTTGATCTATGGCCATTTTTGACAATATTGATTCTTCCAACCCATTAGCAGGGTGTATCTTGCCCTGCTTTTTTCTATTTCTTTTAACAGTGTTTTATAGTTTTTCTTGTAAAATTCCTTCACCTCCTTTTTAGAGCCAAGATTGTCAGAGGGAAAGTGGGGAAAGGACAGAAACAAGGTGGGGAGAGAACAAAATGAACTATGATGGCGGACTATTGTTGTGTGATGAGTGTGGTGTGTTGACAGCACCTGAAAGGGGAGATTCTATGCTTCTCTTAGACAAATAATGATGTAAACCATAGTTGCCTCAATAAAAAACTAATTTAGTTAATAAATCAACTCAGTAAAATGGTGGCGTACAAAATCAATCTGCAAGAATCAGTTGTATTTCTATATGCAAGTAGCACATATGAAGAGAAAGAAATCCAGAAGAGAAAGAACCTCCAACTCACAATTATGACAAAAATAATTAAATGCTTTGGAATAAATGCAACAAAGGAGGTGAAGGATCTATACAATGAAAACAGTAAGATATTGTTAAAATAAATTTAAAAAGACACAAGGAAAGGGAATGATATTCCCAACTAGCTCATGAACTGAAAGAATCAACATTGTCAAAAAGGCTATCTTACCTTAAGCAGTATACATATTTAAGGAAATTCATATCGTCTTCAATTATTCAACTGAATAGAACAAATAACACTGAATTTCATATGGAACCACAAAAGACCCTGAATAGCCAAAGGAATCTGACTATTGGAGGATAAGTGGTGATATCATACTCCCAGACATTAATATATACTATAAAGTTATAGGAATGAAAACAGTATGGTAGTGGAACAAAAGGATATCCACAGACCAACTACCACGCATTAATGGACAGTTAATCTGTGTTCAAGAAAGCAAGAATTTACACTGGAGAAAGAAGACCCACTAAAACTAATGGTGTTGGGAAAAACTGGGCTACCACATACAAAAGAATGAAGTTAGGTCAATACCATGCACTTCACACAAAAATCAAGTCAAAATAGACTAAAAACATGGATATAGGCTGAAACTAGAAAACACATTGAAGAATAAAACTCTACAACATCAGCTTCAGAAACTTCTTTGGGGATCCATCTCCAGTGACAGTGAGAACAAACAAATGAGCTTACATCAAACTATAAATTTCTGCACAGATAAAGAAACTACCAGTAGAACAAAAAGACACAGTACTAAGTTAGAGAAAATCTTTACAGATAACACATCTGACAATGTGCTGATCCACAGAATAAAGAGAGAACTAATGCAACTCAACAAAATGAATTCACCCAATTAAAAAATGGGTAGAAGGGCTACACAGATAATACTCCAAAGAAGACATATTGGTGGTCAATAGACACAAATCTGCTCATCATTACTTATCATCAAAGAAATGCAAATCAAAATCACAATTAGATACAAGCTCACATGTGAGAATGAACCACGTCATAAAGTCCAGAAACAACAAATATGTGTGAGGACGTGCAGAAAGGAATCCCTTCTATGTTGTAGGTAGAGATGCAAACTAGTTGAGCCACTGTGGAAAACAGTAAGTGGGTGTTTCTCAAACTATTAAAATCAATGTAACATAATGCCCAGCAATTGCATCTACCCAAAGAATGAAACATTAATTAAAGGGGTATGTGTCCTTTCATGGTCATCGTAGCCCTATTTATAACGGTTAAGTCATAGAAACAGCCTAAGTGCTTAGCAACAGAGTTGATCAGAAAAAAAGTGGCATATGTATAGGGTAGAATGCCTCCCAGCTATCAAAAAAAAAAAAAAAAAAAACTTTGTCATTTGTAACATGGGTAGAATTGGAGAGGATAACGCTAAACAAAATGAGTCATACAGAAGAAAGCAAATACCAGATGTTCTCACTGTATGTATGAAATATAGAGAAACATATCAAAGGTCAGTTAAGACCAAACCAATAGTAATAAACTCTTAACATCTGACTTCAAAATGGAGGTAATCAGAGGAGGGATAGGGAAAGGAAGGGCCAAGAGAACTTGGTGGAGGATTGTTGAGGTATCGTTCATGGACAGAATGTGAAAATACACATTTGTAGGCATTTAACCTGTAGCATCCAAAGCAGATACAGTGACATAAACCTACTTGTTTTTTAAAATAATGTTCCAAAAGGGAGTCCATAGTTCCCAAAGAATCTGTACCACGGAATGCCAAAGGGGTGTGTGTTACTGAGAGCATAAAGGAGTTATCTCGGACTTAACACGCATTCTGATAAGATTTCTCTGATTACTGAAGATTTAGAAGAGGGTAAGATAATCAAGAAAGATTTTCAAGAAAGGAGAATTGGGTCAAAGCCAGGCACAGGCAGTATCTCAGCACTTCTGGTTGACAAAGAAAATGGAGCAGATGAAGGACATAGAGAAGAATCAGCAGAGGGAAGTGAATTCTCTGGAAGTCAAGAAACAAGAGTTGTAGTTACCTGACTTTTCATTAAATAGCAAAGCAAAGTATGGATTTATGTGAAAAATTAAAAAACAGAACACCAAGATCTGGGGACCACATTTATGCCTGGACAGTGAGCACTGGCCCATTACTGCACCTGCCTCCTTGTCCTTCACATGGCGATTTTAATTGCTCCTGTGACGCTGTTCCTGTTTCAGCTGCCCTGCCAGATAAAATCTAAAATCAGCTTTGAAACGGCTTCTATCTGTAATCTATCATTTTATTTCTTTTATCAACCAACAGCTGGCAACTCTCCAGAGGCCTGGTCTAATTAGCATGCATGCAGATCTCTTTTCTAGTCTCTTACAGCCTTTGCTGTTCTCTGACTTTTCAAGCTAGGAAACGTGTAGGCAGACCTTATTAAAATTCACCTTTGTGCAAGTCCCTGGAATGCCTACTTACCATCTCTAAAAGATCTATGCTCCAAGACTGCAGCACTACTTCTAACACCTACTAACAAAGGGGAAAGCTGACTGCACAAAGACATAATAAAGCAAAAATATTTTTATAAGCCTCTCCTGGTATTTCGAGAGACACTGTAAATGATGTGAACTGTGTCCAAGAGGCCTAGGGAGAACTAACATGAGAAAAAAAATCATTAAGTAGAATTCCAGCTGCTTGTATTAATAGCATGTATTTATATTCCAAAGTTAATGTGGTCATCAAACTTTCCCTTTCAACCCCACCACAACATTATACCTTTA